CCCGGCCCGGCGCGGGGCAGAGCCCGGCGGACGGCTGGTCGCCCCAGCGGGGTGGGCTGCGGCCCCGCCCGGCCTGCGGGGCACGGCCCGGGGCTGCGGCATCCAGCGTACCCGCTCCGGGCCCAGCGGCGCCCCTCGCCTCCCTCTGCGTTTACCCACGTACGCTCTGGCTGCAGCGGCCGCCGTCCGAGCCGGTACGGACCTCAGCGTGGTTTTAATTTTTCCCGTCTCCGCCGTGGATCCCCGGTTCGCCCGTTCCCGGGTGGAGGCTCCGCAGGGCGAGCGGCGCGTCCCTCCTTTCCGGGCAGATTAGTCCGATCCCCCCCGCCCCCCCCGGCCCGGTCTCTCTAAATAGTCATGTAGTTCACATTTATTTGCCTCGTCTGTTAGGTAACGCGAGCTTCCTTCCATTTCCTTGCTTATTTTCCTCTTTGTCTTAAAAGCACAAACTAAAAAATATTTCCTCTCAGTGGTATGAGCCGCTGACCAGAGGTTTATTAGTACCGATAGGGAACAGCCACCTCTCTGACTGGGGGTTTCTGTGGTATTGCATTGGGACTTGCAGACATCACGCTGTGTTGAGACCGAACGCTGTCATGGTTGGTTTGGATGTGTGCTGAGCTTCGTTTCCAGCCATGAGGAGCTGAACAGCAGAAATAGGCAATATGTTCAGAGAGGAGGAGCAGCAGCAGTGGGGAAGCAGAGGTCTGAAGCACAGAGATTAGGTCATTTGGCTGCTGTTCCACAGAAAGTATCAAATCTGGGAGTGGAACCCATACTTCCTTTATTTTTGACCTGTACCTCTTTCCTGAATATTTTAATTCCCAAGAACATTTCTGAATGGCTCATCAGTTACTCCCTCCATCAGCCTTCTTTGTGGTCTTTCTTGCTTTCTACACAAGTAAATTGCTGAAAAAGAGAAAACAGGCAGTCAAATCTGTATGTCCTTTGGGACTAAATTATAGTTTTCTCATTTATGAATTGCTTGAAGTTTGTCCAAATGATATTGACTTCTCTTTAGGCTGTAAAACAGCAGAATCAGTTCTGTGGGGGATCTCATCCACCTTTTCTGTGTCTTGTTTTTTCTGAAAAGAGGTTAATTTTTCTGTTTAAAGATAGATGTCAGAGTGTCTGCATCCAGTGTTCTCTTATTTTATTATTTATTTTTTTCATAAAAATTATTCTTTGCTATCAGGATTATGCTATGTGTCTTACGAAGGTGGCAGATCAAAACGTAACTTCCATGACACTGGTAAAAAGCTTCACTCAGAATGAAATGATGATTGGACAAAATGCAGGAGATTGCATTGAAATGTTGGGGTTTTTCTTGATTTTGGTGGTGCCTTTTTTTTTTTTTAAAAGGCTGAATTGGGTATCTTAAATGCAGTGCTGCCTAGAAAAGTACTTATTATGTTGTAATACTGGACTAATGCAAAATCAGTGAGGTATCATAATTTTATATGTTGTCTTTGGTTATAATTGTAGCCCACAGTATGCACACACAGGACGTTACCTCAAGTTTAGCAAACTGTGCCGAATCCTGTCATGGAAAACTCAGTGGCCTCCAGGAGGTTAAACAGCTGCTTTCTGCTGTATCTTTGCCCATATAATAAGCAGCAATGTATTTGGATTATATTATTGACAGGTATTTAGTATTTAAACCTTGAAGGCCTCAAAAGGAACTTTTTCAGTTCCACTGGCATCACTTTTTGCTGGGAAGGCTTCCTGCTAAATGAAATCATGTGTGCAAATGGGTTTGTGTGCAACAGATTCTTAGTCTGCAGTGTCCTGTGTTATCACCACAGCAGTGACCAGGTAGAAAGCTGCAAGGGCTTTTTTCTCCCTTCCTTTAAATAGCTTACCAGTGCATGGCAGTGAGACTGTTTTGTCTCCAACCTTCTCTGTCAGACTAGGCAAATAGCCTGTCTAGAAGACAAGACTGTGACTTTATTTTGCTGGGTTAAGAATCATGAGTTGTGTTTAAAAGCACCTTCATATTGTGAATTTCTGTCTCCTATTTCCCATGACAGGTTGCTTTGATTTCCTGTACTGGCTCTGGCAGTTGCTGATGGTCTCTGTTCTTTGCCTTGGCAGTTTTTCCAGTTCACCCTAATGCTCAGTCTGATATGTACGAGCTGTAAACTTGTGAAGAATTTAATGAGCTTTTCATAAAATAATTAGTAACTGCTTTCAGAATTATTTCAGGATCCCACAATTCTTCACCTAGCAAGAAGGGCTGCTTTTTTGACAATGGAGAAACATTTTGATGTGCGTTGCCTTGAGCTTGTTACGGGAAAGGTGGGAATCCACAGAAAAAGGAGGAAGGTGTCTGTAGTCGAGGTAGTGAACTTTGCAGAATAGTTCACAGAATATACCCATAACAAATTAACTTCTCTTTTGGGGAGGAAGCTGGAAAGCAGGAAGTGGTGTTGGGCAGGTTCTAGCAAGAGTAGATTGGATTCCTGGTTCAGGAGCACTGGGTTTTGTGGGAGTGCTGGGAGGTATGTCCAGCGTGGCTGGGGAGCTGTCAGGGTCCCAGGGCCTCGAGCTGGATGAACGATGCTGCTCTTTTTAAGCATGGCTTCGTGGCCTTTGCAGATGAAGGCGTGCATTGATGATGTGTTCTATATTTGTCTTGCCTTTTTGAGGTTACATTTCTAAACTCGTTTAACTTTTTTTCTTTTCAACAGTAAGGAGAGGAGGTAAAGGAACTAAGGCTGTAACTGTTCCCCTGGCTGGGGTCATAGTGATTATTGTAGAATATAGGAAAACCAAGATGTTGAAGATGCTAATAGCTAAAAATACTTTGACCAACTTAGATTTAATTTATTCTGTGAATGGAAAAGGAGGATGCTGATATGTACGGTGATAGTTCTGAATTTAAGGTTTCACTTTATATTGGAGGTGAGAGCTGGGGGCAGGTCTACTGGAAAGCAGTTCATAGAATGAGGTGCTGTGGAGTGTTAGTGATTTTACCCAAATGCTTCGGGCTGAGATGACTCCCGCTTCTAGTGCTGTGTGGCTGAAGGAAGGGCTCTGGGAACTGCTCTTTAGCAGCAGTATTTTGCAGCCAAATCTGACACATCTGCTTTACTGTGCTAAACCTTTGCATTTACATCCAGGCTCTCTGTTCTTCTGACTTGGGTTTCTGTATCTGATGTTAACTCAGCTGCCTCTCCAAGGAAGCTCTGAATTGGAATGGAGGGTTTGTGTGTAAGGTCAAAGTATTTCTGTCACCTCTGTGCTAGATGAAGTCTTTGCGAATACAAAGTAACAGGGACTCAACAATACTGGTATTTTCCTGTAAAACACAACTAGGTGGTAGCATTTTTCACAGATGTGTTCAGTTTTACCCTTGTGATGAATTACATCAGTTGGATGGAGGCAGCTGGACTGGTGCCTACGTGTTGTCTTGGTTTGTGCTGAGAACCTCAGTCCTGGGACTTCCCTCCTGGACCAGCGGAGTGTCACTGAGTCCGTGCTGATGAGCTTGGTCGTGCACAGTCCAGGAAGACACTTTCCTTATTATGTGCAATTTTCTAAGCATATGTAAGTGAGAGTCTCAGATCACTCCAAGTTAAGAAAAGTCTAGCTTGTAAAGTGGGGATTTTAATTAGTGGCATATACTTTTCTTGGGAGTAGTCTATCTTTCCTCCCCCTTTCAAGCACTAAACTTGTTTACTTCTCCCTATGCTTCTTTTTCTAGGTTCTTTCTCAGACGCCTAATAATTGTAGAGCTAGAGCTGCAAAATTGTCTTTTATCTTTTGTGTGTCTCTTTGAGTTTGTGACTGAGGCGAGGAGCCAGCCCTGACTCCTTGGCTGCAGGGGTGTTCCCTGCGAGGCTTTCTTCACAGCCTTGCTCTGCTCTCTCCGCCTCCGGCTGCTGAGTGTCTGGACTTTGCTACAGCTGAAGCCATCCTTATAGGAGGAGGTCATTTTCTGAGGACGCTTCTCACATCTTGAATGCTTGGGTGTATTTGATAATTCTCAGGTATCATTCAGCCTATTAAGATAGCACTGATCAGAGACAGTCTAAAGGTACGTTGTCGTGGCATCAGGCACAGGTCATTGGTTTGAAGGCGCCCATTAGTGCTGATTTTGCCCCAGATCCTGTATAAAGGAAGGAGTTTGTGTTAGTAGTGAGATCCAGACAGAGTTACTGTCAGGCAAATCTGAGCAGAAGTAATTCTGGACACTTGCTGTAGTCTGGTTTGGTCACTGCCCGTGCCTGGTTCCCTGTGTGGGACAGACACCCTCTCTCAGTGCAGCGCCAGAGGCTGCAGAAATCACAGTTCTCTGTCGCAGTCCTAGTGCTCCAGTTCTGCAGCCGAAGGACAGCACATGGAGTTCCAGAGCCTTCCTTTGGTTTGATTTTGGGTCTGCCTTTCTGTTTGGTGTGTGCATCCCTTACCTGGGGCTTGATACGGCTCAGGATACAGTTTGCAACGGCTTCCATGCTTTTATTGCTGCCAATACACTCTTTGTTTTCACTCTGCTGCTGTCATGAAAGGTCTTGAGCGACATCAGTGGTACCAGAAGCGTTCTGTGGACACTTCTGTAATCAGAAGGTGTCAGTAATCAGTGTGTCAGGGTGGCAGTCCCAGTGTAGTTCAGGCACAACCAGTAGCAAGGTGTTGTGCCATGTACAGCTTGGGCAAGGTGGTGGTGTGACTAAGTTATGTCAGTGAAGTGTCTCCTGGGGGATTTCCAGAATGAAATGCTGGTACAAGGTAACACCTCATCCAACACTACTGCACTTACAAAAGCTTCCTTAGTGGTAAGGAAACGTCACTGCAGTGACTCAACATGTGACGTGACATTTTCAGGACTACCTTTGCACCCTGAGACTTCTTTGGTATGAAAGAGGTGTAGAGAATAGTAACAGCAGGCTTTTGGTGCTGGCTTCTAACCTTTCAATCTGTAGACCAGATCCAGTTCTCCAAAATCAGCCATTCATCCTATGGACTGTTCTTCTTCTGAGGGATCCTTCGGCTATGAATAGGGATGAGAAATACAGCTGAATAAGCTCTTTTGGCAAAATGCTGCTGCTTGCTTTCTTTCCCACATTTCTTAACCCAGTTGTACATTAGAGTTGGAAACACATCTACTGTAAAATCAAGATTCTAGAAAGTCCCATCACGTGAAGGTTGCATGTATGGATTCCTTTCACATGAACAGAAAGAAATTAGTCTCTTCAATCCCAGTATATCGTAATAGGTTGTATTCCTGTTAAATGGTGGGAGAAAGAGGCACGGATGGGTTTGTTTCCATACTGCAGGTACTTCTGATGGTTTGAGATGCCATGGTGTGTGATCTTCTCATGCTTCTCTAAATGATTATGGTCCATTCTGTCTAAAAAAAAATAAATATCTACAACTCCTGTGCCTCACTGTTGGAGAAATGGTGTAGCAGATGAAAACATACTGCACTTGAGCAGGAATGAATTATCAAAACCAATACCTAGCAGTATAGAATCGTGTGCTCTGCAGTTTGTTACGTGTATGTATATACATGCACAGACACACTTAAGAATCAGATGGTACCTTTGCAAGATAATGTTGCCTAGATTTTCCAGAAACACTGCCATGAAGGCATAGGATACATAATTATTTATCATGTATATTTTTTACCTTGTCTTAAGATGCCTTTGTGCAAACATGAGATTCTAACACTGAAACTTCAAACAGCTCTCTCTCTGTAAACACTTGAAGTGCTGGCCTATATTTAGTGCTTATTAAAATTGAGCATTATGCTGTTGTGTGAGTAATTCTTTGACATTACTGGGAAGACTTGTAGGGTAATAGAATAAGGACAGAAATGTAAAACTAAGCCCAGCTCACAGTTTTACTGGTTACTGACTGTCCAGCCAACGCTCGGGCCAGGGCAAGCACGCAGGGAAAACGGGGATGGGGGCTGTAGGTGGGAATCAGCCCTGCCCCAGGTGTGACCTGTGCCACCCTGCCTGCAGAGAGGGCTCCATCGGGGGGAGAAACTCACCTGAAGCACATTCTGAAAGTGTTTAGGGGGGAGAAACTCACCTGAAGCACATTCTGAAAGTGTTTAGGGGGGAGAAACTCACCTGAAGCACATTCTGAAAGTGTTTAGGGGGGAGAAACTCACCTGAAGCACATTCTGAAAGTGTTTAGGGGGAGCATGGGAGAAAGTGTGAAGATGTGTTGGCTTAGATTGCAGGATGGACTGGTGTTCTTTGTGAGGACAAATGGGAGGACTGGGATAATTTGCCAAGAATTGTTAATACACAGGGTTGTGCATCCAGTTGTGATATGAAGTAGCTAATATTTCTTTTTGACAGCATTGTAACTTGTTGCATAGGACAGTAGTGATGTCAGGGTCAGGTATCCACAAACCACATTTCACTATGAAACTGGCTTTTGTCACTGTGGAACTGTGGCCAGAACACAGGGGGTGGGAGAACTGTGGCAGAGGCTTTTCTGTTGCTTCACGGGGGAAAACTCTGTAGGAAACTGCCATTTGCTGTCTTCATTACCCTTACTTCTGATGATTAACTCTTGTACTAAAGAAGAAAAGCTGGTGGTTTTTCAAAACAGTTGTCTGTGCACATGTATTGGCCTTTAATCCTCCCACCTCCCGGTGAGGGACTATAAATAATAGAGTTCTAGGGTAAGACAGGGATCTAATGGGCAAGTTCAGTAGAAGGGTGAAATATTTCGATTTCTGTCTAGAAGAATATAGTAACAGAGTAACCTGTATGTGATTTTGGGGTTTATTTTTTTCTTCCACTTCTTCTGAAAGTCTTGTCATCTTACTCGTGTCTTTCTAAGCGTGAGACTTTGCTTTAGGCTGTAACACAAATCAGATTTAGGCAGGAAATAGTTTTATTGACAAGCTGTTAATTACTGCTTCTTGTATTCAGAAAGATTAAATACAAGTATGTACAAGTAACTTGGATAGCTGTAATTTTAAGTCCTTAAGAGGTTTTTTCTTGAGTCTATATCTAGTAATTAGGATTTTCCATAGTTGTAGGGAAGAAGGGAAAATAAAATCAGGTGTTGAAGTGCTTTTGCATAAAGATACATTTGTAATATCTGTACTTGAAAGTGACTTGTGTGAGTTATTTAAACTTTGCATTATCCAATGTAAGGGTAGTACTAATGTTATGAGAGGATAGGCTTTTGAAATAACTTGGTACAATTTTCAATAATTTTCAATAAAATTTTCAATAGTTTGTTCCAGATTGTTTTTATTGTTTTAAAACTGTAAACATTTGTGTTTTCTTTGAATGGCAATAAGTACTAAAAATCTGAAAGCTGAAAAGTGCAGGTATAAATTGAGAACCTCGTTCAAGTCCCTTAAGACGTGTTATTTATGTCTGTGCTTAGGGATTTGCTCAGTGAAGGAACATTTCCAGTCTCTGCTGGGAATACTTTGGGTGTTTGGAAGCAGGGTTAGATTTCCTGAAGGTGCTGGCATTGTGTTGGGGACATCAAGTCAGTGGAAGGTGGCTGAGATCTGGGGAATGTGTACTTGTACTGGTAATCTTGTAATGGTAATGGGCATTGACATCAAAGGTGACTGGAATTTGGAGTGCCTCTCACCCGAAAATTCTCTTCTTTTTTTCTCTTGAGAATGTCTGAAATGCAAATAGCACTCCTTCAGAACTTGTGTTGAGTTTATGTTTGCTTGTGTTGTGTCTTAGCTGAAGGCTGATGGTGGTTTGAATGCAGTCCTGATAGGGTATGTTCAAGCCTGCTGTAGTACAGCCTTTCACGGCTAAGTGATGGTGTGCACGCCTTTCTGCTGAAACACCCCACAAATTCTGCTGTTCTTTGCCTCGGGTGTTAAATGGAGCAGAGCAGGAAAAATCTGAGGTGCCGGGAGTGCAGTAACTGATGGAATGTGCTCTTGAGTTATTGTTTTGTGA